TCCTCCTAAAGGGAGTTTTCTTCAATCAGGTCGTCACTTTGGTGAATATTAGCTCAGAAAAAATAGTTTGCTTACAGGACAGATTTGTATTGTCTATTGCATAAATGTTGCAACCAACAGACATTGCACTTTTAGTGCCATGTGCATATACAATGGATGTTTGAATACAAATAAACCTCCAATATGTAACTAATAAAAGATGGGTAGCACTAATGCTTTTCTAAAGACAAATCACACGAAGCACTCCTGAACTTCCAACAAAACAATTGTATCATCTATTACACAGATTTTGCTTCCCTTTTACAGTGTAAATATGTAGCTTTACATTTGGGTCAACCCTAACTGCCACCGGTAGGGGACTGGAGTGCCTTCTTTCTTCTTTCTGCTGTTTCTGCATCTAAATGATGCAAACATTCAACTAACCTCTGAGAGAAAACTATTCGAGGCAAATTATATTTCTAAACTTTAATATCACAGGGACACAAAGGTGTAAATTACTGCTCTCTTGAAACGTCTTTGCTCTCCAAAAAGAGGAACATAGCAAGGTGTGAATTCTACCCTGATAGCAACTGTCACTTGATAAATGTGAAAGCTGTTATTTTAACTCTGAACAAGACAGTCTGTGAAAAACTTTAACCCGGATTAAAGATAATTAAACCTCAGCTACTGTTGGATAACTTTTCCTTTACTTCTTATTATTTTCCCCAGTAATGGATTGCATTTAGTTATCGTTATAAAAAGTCAGCGAGCACATGAAATCTTAACTGGGAACAGCCCAAGGTTGTTGAAAAAGGCAGAAACAGGTTACCCCAGCACGCAGGCAGATCAGATCAGCGATTTCTCCAAGGCCTGACCAGGGTGCTCTCCCTGTGGAAGCTGAGGCGAGGAAGGGGGTGGTGACACCTTGCTGGACCCATCCCAGTGGGAAAGCGGGAAGGCTGTGCTTCCCCGCCTCAGGACAGCTGGGACATAACATGAGAGCCTAGGCTCAAAGCTTTAGCATGTGCTTTGAGCTCTGTAACTTGGCCTTCTAAAATCCTTTGCTGTAATCTCCCCATGTTGATGAGACCTTACTGTAGTCTATCTTTTGACTCTGGCAGCTATTTTCAGCACATCAGCCTGATTTGCCCTGGGCTGGTTTAACTAATGCTGATAAGGACAGCTAGTGCCAAAAAGCTTAGCAGTGCAATAGTGCCTGATCCTCACATCGGGGCATGGACACCAGGACAAGCAATGCCAAAAATTATTTTGGAAAAAAATGGCTGCACAAGCTAGACCTTCACCTTCTCACAGTTCTAGATGTGGTGCCACAGCAGTTTAAACTGATCTCAGCTGATTTCATGGTTCTGCCCTTTCCCTGCCAGCCAGCCAGCACCCCACCCCCCCCCCACCCCCTTTTTTTTTTTTAATGACGGCTGGCACTCAGGCAAATAAGCAGGAAAACAGTTCAGGGAGCTCAGCTGGCTGAAAACAAAAGATACTCATTTTTGGCTGGGCTGGCTTCCCAAACTGCCTTATCAGCTAGCGTGGTGAGCCCCAGTGCCAGCACCAGCACACCTGTGGGAATATTGAGTTTAGGGGGGGAGCAGGGCTGTGGCACCTCTGGTTTAAATGATCAACCTCCAAGTGGATCCACACCTAACTGGGTGGATCCAGCTGCCTGCCACTGCTGAACAGAAAATGGTCCCGTCCTCCTATCCCATCTCCCCTCTCCTGGCCAAATACCCCCGCATCCTCCCTCGTGCTGGCTCTGGCCTGAATTACAGAGTAAACCGATGGAGTCTGCTGATCCAGAAGAAAATGTGTGCCAAAAAAAAAATGCAATGACAAGTAGAAATCCCGACCCAAAGTCCCAAAGGTACTATTTGCTCCTTCTCTTTATCTTTCTTCCCTATTTTTTTCTCTTGCCCTTCTTGAGACATGTTGTTATCCGTGTTAGGAACTGTATGGCCTGGTGGGGAATTTTCCCTCAGGAATTGCAGTGACTGACCACAGCAGCTCCACCAGTACAGGATAGAAACTGAAACAGAAAATATCCCTGCTTTCCTTGTATGGCATGGTCACATCCTGCGTGATCTGTGTAACGCAAGCATGGATGACTTCCATTTCATGGATTCCGTAGGTCAGGCCCGTGAGTACCTTCACTTGATACTCTTCTACTGTTCCCCTCAAAAAAAGCAAACCAAGCGTAATTTCATTTTGTGGAAGGTCAGGCAGATAAGGAAATGTTTCCAAAGCAGGAACACAAATTATTCACAACCCAAGGTTGAAATTAGAGGATTATTTCCCTTCAAAAAGTAGAGGGAAGTTGCAGAAATATGCAAAACATTCTATTCAGGTTCTGAAAGGTTTAGTTTTGGATATACCTAACAGTCCCACCACAGCATTTTGTAAATATATTTTAAAATTTCTGAATCTGTGCTTTTTGTGTAAAAAAAAAAAAAAAAAAAAGTAAAAATTTTAAAAATATTGATTTTACTGTTTTATTTCAAGCTATCTATAATTTTAGGCTGACAGTGATGTAGGGGTTCTCACACTGAAGTTTTTCTTAACTTTAAAGACGTGAAGTTAATTTTTTATATTAAACATAAATCTTAAAATTCCCGAGCACGAGACAGCATTCTTCATAAAAGAAATGCTGAGCGATTATCCATTTACAAAATGCGGGTCTGGACTGCAGCCCTCTGCTCCAGTGGCTATCTCTTCCTTGTTGACTGGATTCTGCCTTCACCCTGGAGCCTCTTTTGGGCTTGATCCAAAATGCTGGCACTAGTAGAAATCTGTTCCAAGAGTTTTGAACCTGGCCTTTTCCTTTGTGAGTGGTCATTTTCACAGTTACCTTTTTTCCTCATTGTGTTTAATGTTCCAGGAAGTATAGGCAACTCAAAATGTACAGAATGTCACATCCTCTAATAAATCTGGTAGCTTTATGCCTTACTATCTGGACCAACATTTGCAGTGGGGAAGTGGGGACTTTTCGCTTTTTAAAGATAATTATTATTTAAACATTGTACTCTGATGTACTCTTAATCTGCAGGAGCGTGAACGATTTTCAGGACTGTGAACATGACTGCAGCAGTGTTGCTTTTGATTTAAATGAGACCAGGAATAGGTCTGTCTAGGCTCAACAAAGTGTGGACCACGTTTCCTAAATGCAGTACAGTATTTATTTTAATTACTAGGTAGGATTTATTTCACAGAAGGGTGAGCATCTCCATTCTAATGATGAATCATTTTCTCTTTCTGTAATGACTGTGATTGCCTCATTATGCTTTCCATGGTATATAATTTCTGTGTTGACACAAGCGGAGATACAGTAAAAAACCTCACTCATCCAGTCAGCCTAGGATACTCGCATACCTTTAAAGCACAAGTCTCCAGCACATATAAAGCATGAGAAGAAAACAAAATCTTAATGAGGTTCTGGTTCCTTTAGCTTCATCTTACATTCATATTTTATTTCCTTCACAGAAGGGAAAGATAATTCTGTTCTGCCATTTAATTAAGTGCTTGAAATCTCCTGATGTAAAATTCTGTGCTTTACGTATAGTATCCAACATCTTACTGGGTAGATTTGATTTTAAAAGGAGATCTAACAGAGACTTTGAATTGTCACGTCCTTACAAGATGTAAGCGGTGCTTATCTGAACCTTCATGGAAAATGACAATGCATTTACCCTCCTTATCAAAAAAGTAATCCTGAGCTGGCAGGTAGAAGCTGCTGTTTTACTAAAGAGCAACCAACCATTTTGAAAGACGTCAGTGCATGTTCATATATTCGTAATTCCAGCAGAAATGGAGACACCACCGACTTCATCACTAGGATCCCTTTATTGAATGAGAGGTGTAACACCTCCTCTTCAGCTAAGTATATGGGAAAATACCCTTACGAGTGGTTACCCATTTGATCTGTTTTCAACAAGGGCAGGAAGAACTTTGTTTTTTACACTCTCGTACAAGCCGAACGTAAGGATATGAAAATGTATTGTATTTATTATGGGCATCAAAGAAAAATAACAAACACTAATATGATCCCTTTAAAAATTTGTTTGGACTGAGATACCTGGACTACATTGCTTTTGCATCTGTGTGATTATTGGGTTATGGGGACATTTTCTTAATATCGACACAGCTGTGGACCTAACAAAGGAGACGGTACCAATACAACTTATCCCTTTGCAAGAATAAACCATAGCAACAGAAACACACGTACGCCCGCTAACAGCTTCGCTACTGCAGGACGCAGAAGTACGTGCGCAGCGGTACATTCAGAGAGCGCGCTCAATTACGGAGAATGAACCTCGCCCGGCCTGCTTTGTCTTCTGACAGATGGAGCTGGCGGTTTTGTTGTACGGGGAGCGCGAGCCGCGTTCCCCTGCCCTGGCTGGGGCTGCCATTTTGGGCGTCTCGCAGCAGCTGTCCCGGCGGACAGGCCGATGGTCCCTTGCGGGTGCCAAGGGCCTCACCTTCCACTCGCCGCGTTGGCCGGTTTCCTTCAGTTCCCGACCTCCCAGCCCACAGGCCTGCGCTCTGCACCGGGGAGGCTCAAGCCGTTACCCCGGCGTTGCCATGGGGACCGATTAAGACAGGTCCATCCCGGCGCCGCCAGCAGCGGCGCGGCCCAGAGCCACCGGCGGGAGCGGTGCCCGGCCCTCGCGGCGGCGGCGGCGGCGGCGGCGGCCCGCCCGTCACCTCAGCTGCCGCGGACGCCCTCCGCCCGCTCCCACGGGGCTGCTGCCGGTGCCGGTGCCGCTGCCGGTGCCGGTGCCGGTGCCGGTGCCGGTGCCGGTGCCGGTGCGGCGGGGCGGGCCCCGGCCCGGGGTGGAGCGCTCGGCGGCCGCCCCTCGCCGAGGGGCGCGGGCACGTGGTGCCGCGCCGGGGGCGCGCGGCGGCGACCCGCGAGAGGGCGGGGCGGGGGCAGGTGCCGCCGCCGGAGGCGGCGGGGGGGGGAAGGGGGGAGCCGGTGGGGCGGGTGCCGGCCGGAAGTGACGGGCTGGACTGATTTACCTGCTGGGCGGTGCGGGCGAGGTGCCCGCCGGGAGTCGCGGGGCTGCAGCCGCCGGTGCCGGGTGCCCGTCGCGCCATGGAGCCGCCGCTGCTGGTGTCCTTCGTGCTGCTCTGCTGCGCAGGTGGGCGCAGGTGGACGGGACGGGACGGGACGGGACGGGACCGGCGGGAAAAGGGCGGGGCAGGGCAGAGCGGGCGGGAGGCGGCGGCGGCGGCGGCGGCTCTGTTAGGTTGGGAGAAAAGGCGGCGGGAGGCTGCTGCCCGCCCGGCTTCTCCCCCGGTGGCCGCGGGGCGCCTGCCCCGCCGCCCCTAACCTCTGTGTGTGTGTGTGTGTGTGTGTGTGTGTGTGTGTGTGTGTGTGTGTGTGTGTGTGTGTGTGTGTGTTTGGCGGCGGGGCGGGGGAGCTCCGTCTCCGCCAGCCCCTCTCCCGGGCCGGTGTGTGTCGCCTCCCGGCCCCTGCCCGCCGGCGGCCGTGGAGCGGCGCCCGAGGCGCGGTGCCGGGGGCCCGGGCGGGCGCTGGCGGCGGGGCCGACCTGTGCTTTGTTCGCCCGCCCCTCTGCCGGGCGGCCCTCGGCGTGGCGGGGGGCGACCCGCCCCGCGGCGGGATCCGCCTGTCTCGCGTGGTGTGCCCTTCTCCTCGGGCGGCGGCGGCGGGGTCCGTGCGTGGCGGGGTCTCGGCGGTGCGCTGCCCGCCCGGCGTCCCGCCTGTGGGAGCGCCCGCTGCCCGCGCCGAGGCGGCGGTGGGAGCGCCACGCGTGGGAGCCGAAGTGAAAGGAGCAAAAAAAAAGAGGGGAGAGAAAAAAAAAAAAAAAAAAAAGTCGGATTAAAACCGCGAACCCCAACCCTGCATGTGTAATACCTCTTCGGTACCTGGCTCTAACTTAGAGGCGCGCCCTGCTTCGAGAGGGGGAAGGGGCCGGGTGGCTTCCAGAGGGCCCTGGGAACCCGGTTGTCCCCGACTGCATGGCCATGATTGAACTCTGTGGAGAAAACTCCAGAGAATTTGAGGGAGGCCGAGGGGAAAGGAGTTAAATTAGGTGCATCTAAATTCGTTTGATTTTCTTGCTGAGAGAGAACAAAGGAATAGATACTCTCCAACAGAAAAAAAAAAAAAAACAAACAAAAAAAAAAACCACACACACAAAAAAAAAAACCAAAACAAAAAAAAAAACAAAAACAAAAAAAAAAAAAACAAAACCACAAACACCAAACGCGAAAACAAACCAAATGTGGCTGGGCTACTAAAAAGCAGGCAAACTGTTTTCATCTCAAACGTTAGGTGTTATTAGGTTCCTGTAATGAACTCGGTTGGAGTGCCGCCATGTTCACGTTGCCTAAACATACATTTTGAAAAAGGAAATTTCCACTAAAGGCGACCCAAACTTTTGTCAAACTACAAAAGATGACAAAACACTTATCGGAGGTTCAGGCTCACAGTAAAACACGTATCAGTGGTGTCAGGCCAGTTTTTGTTTCCTGTTGAAATGTTAATGCTTTTGTTGATGTCACTGTTGTTTTGGGAAATTACTCATGGGATCAAAATTCTGTGTCTCTAACGGAACGATGAACTCTCATCTCCTGCATGAAAGGGTATCGGTAGTTCTGCATTAACCCTCTTTCACTAAGCAGAGTTAGAAACAAGGTAGATGCTGTAGAAGAACTGTGAGTTACTAGTGTTTAGTTGACAGGGTTTGCAATGAAGACATTGAAACACTTCATGTAACTAAAGCTGCAAAAAAAGCTTGTTGTGAGTAGAATTGCACGTATTGTGAATGTGTTGGATCACTACTAAGATATCAAAGGCTATGACCTTGTAAAGCTAGGAATAATTAATGTACGAGGAAATGTAAAGCCGGAACAAAAATTTACACTTTAGCTCTACTGAAGTCTACAGGTGTCTTCAGACTTCACTGTGAAATTGGGTGACTGTATAAAGAAAGTAATATATTTGAGTTTTGATTTGGAACATCTTTTGCTGGTGATTTGGATGACTGAAAGTCACATACATTTCACAGTCATCCAAAGGAAATGATTTAATAGTCTTTATACCATAGGAGGTGATACATCCTCTGAGCTTGCTTCTGTTTTTTTCTGCATTAGATTGAGTTAATATTTCTGGGTCTGTGTTCCAGATAAATGTTACTTCCGCCACTGAGGGGGGCGGATGTCAGTAAGTTGCTGTTCTCCATAAGGACCAAACTTATGGGAAGCTAAATTTTGTGCTGTTGGCAGTGGAGGATTGCCTAGGTGCTGAAGTCTTCACTTGGGTTTGTGGAACTGGAATAATTTGCCATGTTATTTTAACACCATATGCTATTTTCACAGCTTTTTTTTTTAATTCCCCTGTAAGCCTCATCTTCCTCGCTTCACTATCACTAAAGGTAGAGGATTCAAAATAACTGATTTTATATAAGTAAGGAGGCTTATTCTGACTGTACAAAATACACCTTCAGCAGTCAACGAGGCTATACCATTACATGTTGAAATAGGAAGGCGTTTGGATTTAAGCTGTTCCTGAACCCTGCTTAGGGGTTTAATCCCCATGTTAAGGTCAATTTCACAGTCATAAATAACTGAATTGTGAACTTCCCTTTCCCTTGCAGGAAGGGAAGGGTTCATCCTTGAGCATTTCAGGGTACTAGGGGAGAACAATTATTTTCTGTTCCATCTCTGTTATTAGTAATTAATTAATTCTAGAGACTGCCTCGGTATTACATGGCTGTGTAACTGGTAAGTAACTTGGGGCAGTTTCTCTTTGAATTGGTGCTTCTGGAAGATGATCACAGAACAGGCTGGTGTAGTGAAATTCAGTCTTCTCCTGTCTTGAAGGTTTTTGGTATGAATTTATATTTGGATAGCTATTTCTGCGCTCATAACAGCTCTTCTAATTGTGCTTTTTATCTACCTAAAAGTGCACTCCAAGCCTATTGTGAGGGAGAACTTGATGCCTGTCTGAAGGGTCTGTTGGTATCTATTGTACATGAGTATTATCAGTCATTTTAAGTAGTTGGGGATTTCCAAAATGTACAAATTCTGTTTAACTCAAATGAGCATTGTATAGCTGTCATCAGCAAATCCTGGATGAGGATGATAGAAATGATGTGCCTCTTCGGATCTTGAAATGTTCTAGCGAGATAGCAGATAGTAAACTGCTTTCCAAAGGGCAATACAGAATTGGGGTCTGAAGATGAAAGCTCAGTTGTGATAATGTCCTGGGTTGAGTGAGTGGTGGAGTTTTTTGGTGGCAGGGGAGGGGGCTATCGGGGCGGCCCCCTGTGAGAAGCTTCACTGTGCTGGCACATCATTTTGTTAGGGCTTATGGATGTGTAAAGTGGTGTGAGGTTTTTCTGGTTAATTCTAAGTTTTCCAGAATGCGTGGTTGTCTTAAGAGCTAATGTAAAGAAAGTCTATTGTTTCTTATTGTTAGTGGCACTGAGCACATATTTGCCTATGCTGTGACTTCAGGGGCTCATATATTTACGTATTAGTAACTTTTTCCTGGATATACTGTATTGGGAAAATCATTTAATTCCATTTGGAGCAAATTCAGGTTTGTGCAGGATTGTAGAAGACTGAGAATAAATATAGGTGCCTGACTTGTGATCCTGATTTAACAAATAAGATAGTGACTTGCCGCTGTTAAACTTTTAAAAATGTGTAGTGGCAGAACTCAAATTTTCAATAACTATGAAATGTTAGCATAGCCAGATTAGTATTTATCTTTGTATAGGTATAAAAAAGTGATTACATATGTGGTGATCCATTTAATTTTCAGAAGATAAGTTACACAAAATAGTAATGCTGTGCATCTAAATGCTCCAATTGAGGATGAGAGTTTGAGTAGAGTTTTAATGTGCATAATTAGGCAGGAATTTCTTTAGTCTGTAGTGATACCTCTTATTGCTGCTTTTGTGTGTGTGGCTTTTTATTTTAACAATAGGAATAGGAGGTAATTTTGTACTGTATTGAAATTCTGCAATGTGGGATGCTTTATTAATAGAATACTGAGCTTTTAAATAAAAATAAAGTTAGGTATGCTTTAAGAACATTCTGTGGTTACTGCCCTATCATTAAACTTGCAGAAGTATTTCCAATAACATGCATACATGCAGGAGCAGGACCTAATGCAGACATGGTAAGTCAGTGTTTGGTGGCTGGTACACTTTGTCAAATAATAAGGAACTTAAGCCTGTTCATGTTTTTATGCATGCAACAGGATCTTACACAAGCTTAAATTAGGAGAAATTTGACTACCACAGGAGTTAAATGATCATTCCTATCCCAGCCTCTTAACTGCTAATCCTGGTACACTTCGTCCGTTATGGAGTAATTGTAACAAGTTGCAGGGTTCACGTTCTTCTTAAGTGTCCCTTGACATGAAAAGTTAACTGAAGTTCAGGACTCCTTTCCTAGGTTTCCTGAATCTTAGTGTTTCAGGAAGGATGAAAAACTAACCAGAGATGACTTAATCAGCTAGTTACTGCTGTGATGTCGACCGTGAGATTTGAATTAGTAATTTTACCTTAACTAATCCGTGTTTATCAGAAGGCATTTTATGCATTTAGTGTGCTGCTGCAGAGATTATTATAGCTTGTCACTTTGGTCTCCTATGCCCCCTGCCCCAGACTGCCCCTGTGTTGCATCAAACTTCAGCTGCCTATCTGTCTTCACGTCCAGTGCTTGTCACAGCCTCTTCCAAAACCAAGTCTGCTTAATATAGAGATGAAACTGCCACTCCTAAATGACTGGTTTACCTTCTATTGCTGTTTTACAAAAAATACATTTTCATATGAGCGCTTGTATGTTCTCCTGCTGATTCCATTCATGCTTTGAGAAATTCCTTGTAAATATTTTAAAATCTGCCTCAGTATTGGAGCATTTTAAATCTCATTTGCCACAGTGCCTACAGAGATTTGTGCAAACTAGGGAACTTGTTTTTGGGGCCAGTATTGTTTCATCATACTTCCTAAGTTAGTATTTTCTTGCTTGCATGCATTCTTAAGTTTTTAATGGCAGGGATTCTTTTCTTGCTCTTGTTGCAACTCCTGGTTCATTTCATGGAGCTTTTAGATGCTGTGTGAAACATTAGGGAGAAATTTCTACAATTGTGTGGCTCACTGGC